TAAATCTGACAACTATTTTCAGTACTGTGTAGTGAAGCAAGACTGACAGTTGCTTACACCAATCACACATTTCTGAAACCAAGTGCTAGCATAGACCACTCTTAGCCATTTTCAGTGACTCGGGCACAGTTAGTGAAATTAATTTTCAACAACCATTAAATTTCCTATTGTAGATAAGGGACTTGAGCCACAAAAGGACTTAAACGTTACAATGCTGAGTGCTATAGCACCTAACCTTTTAAGTTGTCACCCACTGGAATCCAGAGTCCCACATAATAAACACTCTGTATAATTTTACTCCGGGGGGAATTCTGTGCAAAAAAATAAAATTTCTGGACAATATTTTAAAATTCTGATAATTTTATCTGTCAAAATAATACAATATAATTAGACTAGTTTTCATTATTTTGGAAAATTATTTATTTCAGTATATCTGTAGCAATACAGATAACAAAAAATGTTTCCTCTGGAGTAGAGAGTTAGAGAAACTCCCAGGATCTTCAGTTCCTGTTTCTGTAATGCTTTTGTTGGGTGCCTCAATCTGGGTGTGTCACATGTGTGAACTAGGCACATGTTGAGGGAAAATCTCTGCCCCTCTAATCTCAGACACTCTTAGCCCCTTCCCTGAGAGTACAGTTGTGGCATGCCCCCCATCCCCTCAAAGGCTAGCCATGGGGCATCTCCACAGCACAGATACCTGCACCCTGTCCACCCAAAACCCAGCTGTGGGATACCCCACCAGCTCAGACACATACCCCTCATTCCCCCAGCTCAGCCATGAGGCACTCCCCCAGCCCAGACACCCTTGTCTGACACTCCCAGACCTCAGTCAAAATGCAACCCACCGCCCAGACACCAACTTCCCATATCCTCCAGAGCTCAGTGAGGAGGCAATCCCCACCCCCAGCTCGGACACCTGTAAAGCCTATCTACCAGAACCCAGCTGTAGGTCACCCCCAGCCCAGTTTCCACACTCTTTAATCCTCTTAGCATCCCTCTAACCTAGACACTTGCACCCTCTCCCCAGAACTCAGCCAGAGAGCACCTCTCCAGCCCAGATACCTGCACCCCTTTTCCCTGTAACCCAGGAATCCAGAGAAACAGCCTGATGTTGAGCCCCAGGCTTGTAGAGTTTCTCCATGCTAGCTTCTTTCTTCATGACATGCTGGAAACCACAACTGCTGGGAACCCTCTAGTTCCTCTTGCCCCATCAGCATTTTGAGTGCTGGAGAGCTCCAGTAGCCCCTAGTGGTCACCAGCAGCGATGTTTGTGTGTGTGTGTAGAGAGAGAATGAAATTCTATGCAGAACATTAATTCTGCACAGACTTCTCATTGCACAATGGCACAGAAGTCCTCCAATGCATGGAGAAATTTAGGTACCTAAAATGAGATCCACAAATGCTGGCACAGAGTGGGGAGTGGTCTAAGAGAGCCAATAGGGACTGCTGAACAGAACAGTGTGGCTAGCAACCTGCCCACTCAGGGAGTTTGTCACTTAAGTCTGTGCGGAATGGAGTATCTATTCTGCTTGTAATTCTCAGCTGCAAACAGTCTTCTAGAGTTAAACACCAAAGCTGTTTTTAAAATAAGAAATGCTGGAGGGAGGGCTCATGTTATACATTGTAGTTCAGTGGTTAGAGCACTCCTCAGGGTGCAGTAGACATGGACTCAATTACCCTCCCTCTTTCAATTGATTTACAGAAGAGATCTGAACTCCCAAGTGAGGCCTTCTCCCCTCCCCCCAGTCACTGGGTCTGGCATATTCTGGTCTGAGTTCCTCTCAATCTTCTTATTATAACTGTTCCTGTATGTATTGAGTTCAATAAACTATCTTGTTAGTCTTTAAAGTGCTGCATAGTTCTGTCTTTTGTTTCAATATGGTTTGAGACAGTGAGGGTATGTCTACACTACCCTGCTAGTTCGAACTAGCGGGGTAATGTAGGCATACCGCACTTGCAAATGAAGCCCGGGATTTGAATTTCCCGGGCTTCATTTGCATAAACTGGGCGCCACCATTTTTAAATCCCTGCTCGTTCGAACCCCGTACCGCGCGGCTACACGCGGCACGAACTAGGTAGTTCGGACTAGGCTTCCTAGTCCGAACTACCATTACTCCTCATTCAAAAATGGGGGGAGGAGGGAGGGCAGAACCACCTGGAGAGACTCTTGGCGACCCTTTTGAAATGTAATGGTAACCCATATTTGGGTCCCAACCCATAGGTTGGGAAATCCTGCTCTAACCAGTTAGTGGCATGGTAATTTCTAAATACATTTCAGCCAACATGCAATGTAGCTAAAATTCACTTGCAAAACATGTCAGCTAACAATGTTGTGACTTTATCAAAGGCCTAGCATGTTGGTGCTTCTCTGCCAGTAAATAGGGATGTTAAAACAGTTATTTGTTTAACCATTTTATCTTTGGGCTTGCCACCTGACTTGGTCTCAACTGTGGGGTCCTACTTTCAGTACTCCAGTGACCATGGGGTCCTACCTTCTATCCCACAAGCCTCTCCAGGGTCAGGGCTGCCCCAGCCCAGCATGGCTGGCTACCATTGGCGGTCATAAGTGGGGGCCACTTAACTGGTTAACCATTAAGCATATTGGTAAGCCTCCTGCTTACTGGTATGCTTAATGGTTAACTGTTTTAACATCACTACCAGTAAATGGTTCCACATACTTTTTTTTTCTAAAGCAGAGATAGGACTTCCTGATTTGCCACTGTACCTTCTTTGATCACATCTAAGATGTGATGCTGCAGTATGCATTGCTGCATATCTGTATCATTCAGAGGGCTTGAAACCAGTGAAAGCACATTAGGCAGTATGGTAGGTGTGGATGCATACATATGGGATGATCCATTATTGTGAGGCAAGAAGGCTGAAGTGTAAATACAACTCACATTGTGTTTGTGTAAGTATCATGTGAAAGAGTCACAACCTCATTACAAAACTATAGTGGTACTTGAATTATGGGCAAAAACTTAATTATCTGATTTACAGAGATTTGGCAGCTTAAAACTGCACATTTCATATATCTCAGTGTTCAAATGTTATAATTAGAATGTCTAGTTCTTGTGTACTACGGAAAACTAATGTTACATTAAACATATTTAAAACAGAAATTACCAGATAATTTGTGACAGCATGTTTAATATTATGTATCCCAACAGCTACGACATACGTGGTATCAAATCTATTGCTTTCCCCCCCCTATTTATAAAAGAAGTTCAAATAATGTTCTCAATTTTATATGAAAGTACCAGGGCAAGTTAAAATGGTTTCAAATCCATTCATCCATCCTTTTAGATTGATAGAATATAAAGGACTCAGCACTGAGATACAGGCAGTCCCCGACTTACGCGGATCCGACTTATGTCGGATCCGCACTTACGAACGGGGCTTTCTTGCCCCGGAGCTCGCAGGCAGCGGTCTGCCACCTCGACCTCCGGGGCAAGAAAAGCTGCTCCTGGTGCCCCTGGTCTGCTGGGGACCGTCTCCAGCAGACCAGGGGCACCGCGAGCAAAGCTGCAGCCGTGGCGGGGTCCCGCGCTTCTGAGGCTTTGCTCTGGCAGCTGCTTCCTGGAATCAACGGTCCCCAGCAGACCAGGGGCACCGGGAGCAGCTTTTCTCACCCCGGAGTTCCAGGTGGCTGACCGCTGCTT